AAAATTGTTCTCACCTCAGATTACAGTGCCATGCATGTCGTGAGCAAAATGACTTCAGACAGTGAGTTGCACTTGTGACAAGCTGCCCCGCTCTCCCCTACTGTTCCACTAAGTCCTCCAGATGTCCGTTACTTTGCCTGGAATCAGAAAGGAAGGGTGGGGTGCAAACATTCCCTGAAAGAGAGGGAAAGAAAGTGAAACTTTTTCTGTTAACTAGTGGCTTTACTGATAGTCCTCTTAAATGTTAGTTTACTAGCTGTATAGCTGTTGATGTTATTGAGATCATATTAAATAGCTTACTGTGGACACTGCAGCTGTTGTTGTTGCAGTGTGTTGTTGACATAGACACAATAAACAGAGGACAGAGACAATCCAATCCATTACTAATGCAGACAAGCACAGTTTGAAACTGTCCAGACACATGCACCCAAACATATTTTCAAGTGTAATAGGCTAAGTAAAGCTAAAATATTAAGAAAATATCAAATGCCATAAGTGATATATCAAAATGAACAGCAGAGAATGTTGTGAATGTTAACCAAATTCTTAGAAGTATTAAGTGTTGGAAATAAGATTAGACCAGTTTTAGGTATAATAAATGCAAATTATCAGAGACAAACTGACCAGATAACGGGAGAATCTCTCACTGCCGTGTCAGAAATGATCTGAAAAGCCCTCCCTCTTGGTTCCCTAACATATCCCTGGATGAAATTTGAGTCATGCAATTCACAATAATGCATTTGAATTAAATACTGCGCCACAGTTCTGGGAAAATGGTCACTAAGGTTGTTTCCCTGGAAAATTTTAAACAGAACGATCAACCTTCCAACAAGAGAAATTACATAAACCTCTGGTATTTCCTTTCCCAAGAAGCCCAGTATTTTTAACTGTTTTTATTTGGTTTAATTCATAGATTTTAACGTGTTATTAAATCCTACTTATTTTTAAATTCAATTTCAAATTCAATGCCCTTGTTTAATAAAACAAGTTAATTTCACTCACAATAATTAGAAACAATATGTGTAATTTAATTTCCACATACTGTCCGGTCTGCGTATGTGCAGACACATGCCGCCAATTTGTTCTGAACGTAGTGATTGCGCGTTATGCCCTCTTTAGTAGCTCCTTGAATGCTGTATAGCTCCTCATTTTCAGTAAGCAATTTATAACCACTGGTGTGTTTATTTTTTTTACTTAAACAGGGTTCTGTTTACACTTCAAAACATTTAATAGAAAAAAATGTTTGTGTTTTGAGAAATTAACATTTGCTAACATTACAGCGACTAGCTTAGTTGTGTAGTAAGTTCACTTAGATTAAGTGTAACATAGATATATGGTTAATATTATAAATACTCTATAGCTCTAAAGTTAAATGCGTGGTGAATTCAGTTTTTGACTTTTTAGATGTATTTATTATTTTATGGACACTGAAATAATACTGAAAGAATAAAAGCAAAACAGGTTTACAAATGTTAGTTGACAGTTAAATTGTAGCTTTGCCTTCCCTGCTGTCTCGGCTTGTAGACTATCCTAACCTACTGTATTCCTGACTAGCTGTAGGCATGTTTTTTAATCTTGTCAATGTGTTAACACAGTGTGTTTGCCAGGTGCGGGAAAATAAATCCCGGACTGTGCTTCATGAGGTAACAATAAATAAAAGTCGTTGGTTGGTGTGAGCAGACCTTGATATTGTGGGTGTTTAATATCCTCGTTTAAGTTTTACTCAGGTCCTCCCCTTTATCGTTTCTATAAAAGTATCTATTTTTCCACCTGTATTCCATGAAGACCCGCCGCTCCTCTGCCTAAGATTGGCTCTGACCGTGACATTTTTCAAAGCTCATGTCACTCCCTTTGCCCGTTATGTTGTGGAGCAGTCACGTCAACACCTACATCAGCACTTCAGGTGGAAGTTGGAGAAATGCTACTGATACTAAGAAGAAAACAGTTGAGGGCCAATTATTTAGCAAATTTACAAACTCAAAAGGATTCACATCCTACAAAAAGGGATATGAATGAATGTTGGGAAAGCAGCAAAATTGACGAGTATCTTGCAATGTAATCATCAGATATAACAAAGAAATTATTCAATGATTGGATTACAAGTCCAACTGCTTAATGCCAGCTGTTCTACCACGGTAACTTCCTCAGCCTATAGATGATTTTTCTTTACTGAAACAAGTACATTCAAGTAAGAATGTGTTGACAGTGTATGTGAACACTATGCTGCATGAGAGATATGGGTATTATGTACATTTATTTACAGATGGCTGTAAAATCCAGATAATGGACAATTAAGCTGTACTTTTTATATTACAGAATTTAAAATGAAAGTGTCTAAAAGATTAAGCGATCATTTATAGGTGTATGCAGCAGAAATGATGGCAATCTTGTTTGCATTACAGTGGATAGAGGAAGTCAAACCAATGAGAATGCTTATGTGTTCAGACTCAAGTACAGCTCTGGCTAGTCTCAAGAATACTACATCAAAATGTAGTGAGGGCATTATGTTTTAAATTTTTATATAGATTAAGTAGACTGGACCTTCAGTTTTTATGGGTCCCAGCACACACAGGCATCCAAGGGAACAAGAACACTTTAGCTAAAAATGGGTTGAAAGTAAATAGGGTAGAGGTGGCAGTAAGCCAACTAGAGATCAAAGCTTATGCATGGAACAGAATTAAGATGCAGTGGCAGTCTATGGCATAATGATAATAAAGGAAGACATTTATAGAAGATGGGGGAAGTACAGTCACTGGGGAAGAGCAGGAGAGAACAATCTGCTTAGAAGAATTAGACTTGGTCACAAAAAGTTAAATGGACAGTCAAATGGACATTAAGACTGTTGGTTGTTAAAATATCTTAAGTTTTTTAAAACAAAAACTGAACACAAGAATTTAAGAGATGGGTACCTAGGGTACAGTCAGGGGTGGGCTGGTAATCAGGCATACTGGGCAAATGTCCCACGCACCTTTGGGCCGTTGAGACATAGATTATAATTAGGGTTAATGCAGTTTTTATTTTATTATTAGTTTGAAAGTCCCTTCCTCACTGGCTCTGAATACACAGTCAAACCATGGGTGTGGAGGGGCGGGATGTTGATCAGCCTGCAAATCACCCACCCAAAGCAGCAGAGGGAGGCTTTGGCAGACTACACTGTCATCTTTTTTCCATATTTTTCCACCCACGATCCGTTATCATGGCAGCAAGTGAGCCGCTTGCTTGTTAATGACGCAGCCTATCAAACAACTCAAACAGCCGAAACCAACATCTGCACCATGTTCAATGTTGCTTTAACGTTACCTGGTCTAAGCTTGTAAAATATCCACCGCGACCTGTCACGTAATTTAAAGTTTTTAACCGAGTGAAGTCTATGCGAGTGAACAAACGCACCGACCCCGCAACACCACCACCCCCATGCCATCATCCATCACCGACGTTTCAATGTAGTTTTGTAGACATCTTCCCAACCCCACAGACTGTTTCTGCTATTCCCTGATAAAAGATACCTGATGCTGATACCTGTTCAGAAAACAAACAAACAAGAAAATTGGACTCTGATAGTAACTTATTTTAACAAGCTAGATAGATAGCTTTGGTTTAGTATTTGATTTGATTACATTAATGTTTAAGTTGAGATTTACAAGAAATATTTTATTGCTACTGTGTAAAGGGAATACTGCTGGTAAAAAGCACCTTATTTGTTTAAAGTGTTTGCAAATCACATGTTATTACACTTTTGTGTATATAGCAGTACATTTAAATTAAAATTGCACAATACACTACTTTAGAATTCATTATTCAATTTTACATGTATCAATGCGATTAATTGCAAGAAAATCATGCAATTAATCGCAATTAAAAACTTTAATCGTTGCCCAGCACTAATTATAATATAACTGCCAACGATTGGCCCATAAAGCACGGACAGCGGCCCATTGGGTTATTTTCTATACTGACACTGGTCCAGTCACATCTCTTACTAGAACTACTAGGAACTTGTGAAATGTGAACTTTGTTTAATAACTTATTAAATCAACATGTGCAAAACCTACTAATTATAAACAGGCTAAAACAAAGACTGTTGCAAAGGATTTATCATGAACATCATGAACATCAGTGGATTAGAAGTAGTAGGCCTTGTGTGCAGTATTGGAGGATATTATGTATGTATGTTGATGGACAGGGAGAGAATGTCCTAATGAACTTGAGTAATTGTAAAGGGTGGTGTGAACACAGATTTTGGCTAAAATATTTGTCATTGTTTGCAGTAACACCATCCAAACAATCAAAGCAGACATAAATAACCTTTCCACAAACATTTGGTCAGTAAATATATTTATGTATTTATTTGATCAGTTTTTATTCAGCCTATTGTTAATTTTATAGTATTGAAGGATATAGATTGGTTAAGCATAACACATAGTTGTTTATATTCTCCACTTAGGCACTTTGATAATTTGATAATTAAATGTGTATTAAATAGCCTATATCTCTCTCCCTTGTCTCTTATTAAATTCATGCATATGTGTCTGACTGTATAGCCTATCTCAACTTGAAAAAACAAAACATACCATAATGTGGACATTCATTTGCATTGTAACAATATTTCTTAACAAATAGCCAGAGGACATTTGTGAAAACAGCCACAAGATCCAGGAAGAACATCTAACCCTAACCCTACCCCTAACCAATAGGCATGCAAAGCACTGCCAAGTAGCACTTCTCGATAGGCAGCATAAATCGACAGAACACCAGCAGAGACAGAGTAGGGAGAAGATCTGTGCTAATTTTTTTATCCATGCGTGTGCATATAGTTGTTTATCAAACTCACTTCTTGTGAACTGACCAATCACAGCCTGGATGGGGCGGAACATTAAAAAAGGCTGATGTGGTGCTACAGCAAACTCAAAATTGAGAACTCGTTCTGCATGAATGGTTATGATTAGTGACATGTTGGCACTAAGCATTTACAAATCAGAGACTAACCTCCATGTAGGCCATTTTTCTTACACAAGGATTTAATGAGTTTATACACTTAAATTTACTTTTAGGAGGAAGAGGAAAGTTTTTAAAGGAGGAAAGGAAGACTTATTAAATTATTTTAAAGTACATCCACTCATTTGGCAGTCACTTTTATCTCTGCAAAACAATGTAAAGTAATTGGTCATGACTTGGATTTGAACCGGGAACCTACTGCATGAAAAACAACTAACAAACTAAAGCGTGGTTAACTTCAAATGCAAGAATATAACATTACAGGACAATAAAGAAATACCTTCACAAAAGGCAATAATATTTTAACTAGCATTCAACTATTTAGTTGTCACACTTTTATCAGTTTGGGAAAGAAAGATTGGTTAAGACAAGATACAAGAGAAGACAAATTAATGCAAACACATAGATGGTGATGTAGTTGCAGAGTGAATAAGAAGCTGATTCACAGAGTTCATAATTTTCTCAATTATGGCTGTATGAGAATAGAACTATTAATATCATAATTACATTTCACAGATGAACGTTCAGTTGTTATTTTGTTTACATTTTGATTAGGGTGATTTGAAAACAGTGTAGAGTGTCCTTACTCTGGTGATTGTACACATTAGGATGAGACAAGAAGGGGGGGGGGGAAGGGGGTCCAGATTGGCTGTTTGTGTGTGTGGAATAAACTGCAGGAGAAGAATCAGCTTAGTCCTGGGTTTGGTTACCATGGCAACTTCATAATTCATCAGAGATTTTGAAGAGAGTTGTCTCTCTGGAAAGTGTCCCAGTTGGCACTTAAATGGTCCCATGTGGCAAAAGCAATGTCTAAAAGCTGGGAAAGTTAGTTTGTAATGTTATTTCAAACTCCTTCAAAAACTCTTTTGGTTCTTCCTGTGAAGCACCAGCGTCCGTACTTTCTTCCCCCCTCTGGCTGGGTGAGGTTCAGCTTTGGGTCAGGCAGCATCTCTGCCTTTTTGGGTCAACAACTCACCTCCTTTATGGATATAATAGTTTGTGATGTCACTGTTCCTCTGGTCATTACATACCCACTAGAACTGTAAAGATAAAATACATTTTAAAAGGTTGTTCTAAAATCTGTGATGATGTTATTGATTTAATGTCTTTTTCTTAATGGTTAGTTGTAAAACACGAGATAACCTTTGATTTGGGCATTACCACTCATCACAGCACTACTCACCTCATGCCTCTGTCTCCGGTTACTAGATCAAACAGAAATATAAACAGAAGCGTATAATTAATGCCCAAACTAAATATAAAACAATGGAACATCATTTAAGGAACAGCTGTGTTAGTAAAACTCACTCCTTCGGGGATGGAAAGCGTTGTTTGGAGATTTGATTGCCACAGGTTACAGTGTGAGTGTTGTTTCTTTAGGAGGAATAGGGAATTACAGAATGTCATTTTTTGGCTGTGCCTGCTATTACGGGTTTGTGATGTTGTAGAGGAACATTCAGAAACACTTACAAATAGCCAACACTGACGTCTGCAGTATTGCCTTGGTGTCTGCAAGGGTAATAAAAAATGTATTTATATTCATTGATATTTTCAAATGATGCATATATTATTTCTTCCTGTGTCTATGAAGATTCTCAGTCATCCAGGTCATAGTTATCCAACGAAGGTTAAAATCAAGGGCAACTGGACTTGGTTGAAGATACTAGAAGACGTTTCGTCCCTCATCCAAAGGACTTCTCTGCAGAATTCTGACTGACAACTTTGTGATTCCGTACGTGTCTGGAGTATCAGAGAAACTCAGGAGGATTTTCAACAAACATAACATCCCTGTGTTTTTTAAACCCAAGAACACACTAAGACAGATGCTGGTACACCCCAAAGACCGCACACCCAAACACAAGAAAAGCAATCTAGTGTATGCGGTCCAATGCAGTGAGGAATGCACAGACCTGTATATTGGGGAGACTAAACAACCACTACACAAACGCATGGCTCAACACAGAAGGGCCAACTCCTCAGGTCAAGACTCTGCAGTCTACTTACATCTGAAGGACAGAGGACACTCGTTTGAGGACCACCAGGTGCACATTTTAGACAGAGAAGATGGATGGTTTGAAAGAGGTATCAAGGAAGCCATCTACACCAGGGTTGAGAAGCCGTCATTGAACAGGGGAGGGGGTCTACGCCACCACTTATCCCCCACTTACAATGCTGTCCTTTCATCACTTCCCAGGAAACTCAACAAACGTAACCTATTGGCCTCAGGTGAAGATACCAACGATGGTCGTTCAGTCTTGGCCACAGGTAGTCTTGACGACTGTAACGACTGTCGTCACAGCAACCAGGAACACTAACGAACCAGCGGTATCGATGACCCGGGCCAACGACCCCACTGAGGTTAAATAGCTGAGTTTCTCTGCCAGTCAGTCAGAACTGAAGAAGTCCTTTGGATGAGGGACGAAACGTCTTCCAGTATCTTCAACCAAGTCCAGTTGCCCTTGATTTTAACCTTCGTTGGATATTTCTTCCTGTGCTAAAATTGAAAATGGTACCTTGAAAATCTGTTCCAGAATGACCTCCTATAAGAATAACATCAATAAATATTAAAGTGTTAGATACAAACAGTGAGAGTGGTCTAAAACCAACAGTACTGAAGGACACCTACTTTGGTCTCCTCTCATTTTGCCACCCGACGCGCCCATCGTCTGCTCTACTGGAAAGGGTAAAAATGGATGTAAGACACTTCATCTTGGGATTAAAGGTGAGTGTTTTCTCTTTGGTGTTCTTACCGAGAAATTCTGTTCCAAAAGGACATCCTGTAATGTAAAGCCCAATGTTACTCCTTGTCAGGATAGGTCTACAGTATTTGTTAAATTTTTAAAACAAGCATTTTGCTGACATACCGTTTTTCAGGCCTTGGAGGTCTCTCCCTGTCTTCAGGGTATCTCCTGAACATTTCCATGAAAATAAATTATTTAAAATAGATTAAAAGGCTGTACATAGCTCCTCTGTTATTTTATCCTGCATGATATGAGATATGGGGCAATTTTTAACAGAGCTTACCTGGAAAATCTATCCCATAGTGATCTCCTGTGAGTGAGGTTTGAATCGCAGAGAAAAAGATTTACTCTTTGGTGGAAGTACTGGATGCATGGTGACAAATAAGATACCAATTGGAATCGGCTGTTTCATATATGCTTCACAATCATTGGCTCATACTGTGTGGATGTTTACTAACTTCAGGTCATATACGTGCTTACAGTGCAATCATGATCTAACTTTTCTCACAATTACTCTGCTGATAAGACAAAGCTCCCTCCATATCAGACCTCCTTCTTATGTGTCGGTTTTGGTATTGTTGATATAGAGGTTCAGTGTGTGAGTTTTAGTGGCATAGTGGTGAGGGTTGCAAATTGCAACCAGTGGCTCACGGTACATTCACATGCTCCTCATATGGTCCCATTTCCCAAGTAGTGAAGTTGTTTTTCCGACTTCAGTGTGTGTTGATGTGCTCTTAACAATCAACATGGATGCTACTACAAAGATGTGTTGGATTATTCATTACCAGAGCATATAAACAACACACAGACATCTAGTTCACTCTAGTTCACAGCTGTTATAACCATATTACAAATTACATGTTTACAAAATATGTACAATGCAATAAGTGGTTTCATACAAGTCAAAGTTTAGTAAAGTTCTTGTCCCATGTACACTTTATTTCTCTTTGTGCAATAAAGATTTTAGGAGGAAGAAATTATTCTGATTATTCCGACACCACATGAATGCACCATCAGTCACCGTACACCCCTCCATTTCCAAGCATGCAGAAGAAGCTACGGTGGCCCGCATGTATTATTTACATTTAGAAGCACGGTGGCTGTATACATGTATAATACACGCCTCCATTTGTCCAAATTTCTCTTTTTTTCTTACTTCTAATAAACCACTCGACAACTATTACTACTAACATTACTTCTTATTATTATTCTTAATGAGTACATATTCAATGTACTGATGAAATGTGCTCTGTAGAGAAGTTTGTTCATTCTGGCTACAAACTGGTGGCACAAAATGCTGATGTCCTGTAATGTAGATAGAAATGGCTCATTCAAAGGTAATAAAAACATTTATACACCACTAAAAACATAGTTATGTATGTTATCTTGTATTGTCAATACATCCTTCTAAATATTACACACTGAACCTTCAACTAAGATTTTATATTAATAATTTTGTTCGGCCAGCATAATCCTCAAGGCTCCTTTTGTTCTATTAGACCTCTTTCAAAGAACAGAGCCTTTGCTGCCTAATTTGCGTACAATTATAATTTGTTATGAAAGGTAATTTCATTGACGTACGTGTTCTTGACTTTAATCTAGTCATCAATTGTGTCATCAGTTATGTCATCAATGTCCATTATGCATTTAGTTTGACCAGCATACCTTTTCTCTGGTCGAGGTGGTGGTCTCAGCGAGTCATCAGAACGCTTCCTGTTGGTTGGGGGAAAAAATGCCATAGGAACATTTGCTAATAAATGTTGACATTTTACATTCTACAATAGACACCTAATAGTATCAATAGTAATTGATATTACACACCCACAGTATTGACACATTTTGGATTGATTTGATTGGATTTACTCTACCTTTTCCTGTAGATGACCACTCCAAACACTGCAGCCAGGATGATTACAATGAGGAGAGCTGAGACTGGAATGATCACTGGGAGAGAGCTTCTTAACTGGTACATCAGTGATCCTGGTGATGTAGGAACATTTACGGCTCATGCTAATGTTTTAGGTAAAATACACAACCCAATATATAATATAAAAACAGAAAATAAATAGAGAACAGATAAATATTGTGTTCTAACCCTTCACAGTCAGCTTGACTGTGTTAGCTTGTTGCTTTCCACGCCAGGAGATGGCAGTGCAGGTCAGGTTTCTGTCCCCGTCTCCTCCAGAGGCCATGAAAGTGATAGTGGAGGAGGTCTCCCAGATGCCCCGCTGCGTCCAGGAGTGCCTGACCTCACTGGTGAGGTTAGGGACACTCCATGAGAACTCTGGAGGATGTGATGGACATGTGTGCGTCACAGAACATGAGACAGTAATCGTTGAGCCAGCATCAACTTCTGTTGGAACTTGGGTCATCACCGGTTTTTCTGGGGAAGCTGAGCAGGTAAAACACAAAGCAGTGTATTTTCATTGATTAGAAAGCAAACAGGTTACATAGCTTTGCACATTTAAATAAGATGAAGAGTAAGTATTGATTCCAGACCTTTCATAACAATAAAAACACAGCTGTTGTTGAATCTGTATTTGTCATTTCCTTTCTCTGCATAGAAACAAAAAGGCCCGTTGTCAAAGGGCTTGATGTCATCAATCTCTAATGAGCAGTTTCCCTCATGCAGTTCTCCTAAAATTCTGGTGCGGTCTTTGAAATGGTCAAGTACTTGGCTCCGGGCGTTATGATAGACAATGCCCCCAGTTTTTTTGGACCAGATGCCACGTGTGAGAGGCTCATCTTCCTGGTACTGGAAGCTGCAGGGAATCACCACACAGGAGCGGGTCAGGGCCCTGAATCTGAAAGGAACGTCAGCCGCCAGAACGTAGGACACTGTGAAGAGTGAAACAAGCCATGATGGTATGCCTATAGAAATCAGTCCATTTATGGCAGCAACATGAGTTTTGAGGAAACTGAGCAAAACACCTACTGTCATTTTCATGTGGATCTATTTCTTCAAGTGGTTTGTTATATTCTAGAAGAAAAGTACAGCAAGGAATAATCAATTAAATCTAAATGTATAGAGCAAATGTTTGCCATTTTGGGACACATTATTTTACGCATTTTGGAACTCACTTTTTATATGAAGAGTTGCAGAGTCTGAGGTCTCCCCAGTAGTGAACTGAGCGGTGCAGGTCAAATATTTACCGTCATCCCCAAGAGAGCCAATAAAGGTCAGATTTGACACTGTAGTATAGGTATTGCTGGAACTCTTGTTGGTGTGTAATGAACTCTGCATGTCTTCGTAGTTCCACAGAATAGTTGGTTTATTTTTCTTGCACTTGTAGGAAACAGAACAAATGACACTCTTGGCCACACCCTCTATTGCCTCGCCTGGCTTCTCAATCGTGATTCTTTCATATGGGCCTGAACAGAAATATGAAAGTCAGGCTTCAATCCAAACAGTAGCATTTTCATTTTAATTAAAAAAAACATGGTCTCACATTGTACTCACATTCAACATTCAGCCTGAGCTCACTTGTGGCTTCCTGACCACCATGGTAGCGAACGGTACACTTCACGCTCTGGTCCTCTTCTTTTACAACCCAGCTTCGCTCTACTGTCCTTTCCCAAATCCCATCAGATACCAGAGTATCCATAATGCTGTCTGTTCCAGATATACCACTTAGAGTCAGGGTGGGGGGAGCAGAGATACATGTGTGGTGCACATTGCAGGACACTCTGCCCTGCTCTCCCACCCTGGGAACACCCATGATGCTAAGCTGCGGTTCCTGTGCACGGTCTATAAAATCAAAGCAAATATCGTCATTTGGAGAATAGATTTTTTGGGAATTTGGATTCAATTGATAAAAAGGGGGAATAAATGTGTCCAGATGCTTACCTGAGACAATGAGTTCAGAGGTTTTTTCATAAAATGTGGAATCTAAGGTGTGGAAGGAGGTAATAGCATTCTTGTCTACCCATGGGTAAAGTCTGTCCTGGTTGTGCGACATTTCCAGCCTCTCAATCTTGAGACTACAATTCCCTTCCCCCACAGATCCAATCAAGCTGGTTATACCTCTAAACTTACTAATAACAGTCTGTCTTTGGTCAAATACAGGAGGGTATTCATTGTTCTTGAACAAGTACCATATAACTCGGAGGTCAGCAGGCTGGGAGGTACTGTAGTTAAAACTGCAAGGAATGATGATACATGAGCCTCTCATGCCTGTGGTGCTGCGAGGGGTGGTGAAGGACCAACCACGATTAAGCATATTTCCTGCAAAAACAAGAAACATTTGAATCAAATATTTTGATCAACCAGGAGTTCACAACCTTTCTGACTTGCAGGGCAAGAAGTATACGGTGGCTTTTCAAAGTTGTGGGCCAGAAAATCTAAATAATGAGCTTAAAGAAGCTAAAAAGCCCGATGGACCTGAGGGAACTACAAGCAACATCATCTACTACACACAGTAGTTTTATCCATTGTTCATCTAAAAATACTGATCATAGCTTCTTTAATGTCGACATGAGTTACACACAGTTCATCAAAAGAGATTTCACTCAGATTATTATTATTTCTACTCACTCTTTACCCGTAGGGTGATGCTCACTGTCTGCCTCTCACCCCCAGTGAATCGTGCAGAGCATGTCAGAGATTTTCCATGATCCCTGGCTGATGCTTTGAATGTCAGTGTGGAGACAGTCCTCCACTCAGCATTTACAATCTTGTCAGTATTACTTGAGGCTGGCATGCTAACATAGTTCCATGTGAGAGTTGGTATATGTTTTGGACATGTGTATAAGGCAGTGCAGGTTACTTTGCTTTCCTGTCCCTCAAGAAACTCATTCGATGTAGGCTGGATAGTCAAAGGTGAATAGGAGCCTGAAATAAAAATGGTAAATGTTAAAATTTCTAGGTAAAAGAAAACTGGTTTATTTCTTGCATGTCCATCACATACGTACATTCTGCATTTAAGGTTTTGGAGGCTGTTGCAGTGAGACCGCCATAGTGTCGGACAGAGCACTCAACAGTTTGGTGGTCGTTGTCTATGTTTAATGTGGTCATCATGGTAGTTTTGGATGTGCCATCAGACATTGGGCTATGAGTTATTTTGGGGTTTTGCAGTGGAATGTTAAGACTCAGAGTGGGTGCATTAGAGGGACAGGTATGATAAACAGTGCATTGCACTGTCACGGACTGTCCAACCTTCATGTTTCCAAAGATCGTAATATCCGGTTTCTCTGGTTTTCCTTTACAAAGGAAATGTAAAGAATCAATAATGACACATGAATAAACATCAATCTAACAGTGTATTTTTTCCCAAGCTCATCATAATAACTTACCCACTACATCAATTGTTACAGTTGTATCAAAGAATCGATAGGTGCTTCTCCCAACATTCTCTGGATCTACCCAGGGGTAAATCTTTTGTCTGTGGTGAGACCAGCTCACTGGGGAGATTTGTAGACTGCATATCTTCCTGTGTTTAGAAGTCAATACACGTGTTCTTCCTTTAAATATGTTAATGACCTCATTTGGGTTCCAGTCGTCATATACTAAAGGATATCCACGGCTCACATACTGGTACCAAACCACACGATCTGGATTGTGAGGTGGATACTGAATGTAGTCAAAACTGCACGGGATGACAAGGCAGGAACCCACCAGTCCTTTGATGTTGCTTGGCATCTTTACATACCAAGCGGTGGAACAGCAGAAAAAGTATCCTGCAAGAGGACCAATATGCAAAAGGAAATTAAAAATGAGAAAAAGAATAAATGAAAATCTAATAGTACAAAAAAGTAATACCTAAAATGCAGAAGGTTAGGAGACATCTTCGAAATCCAGACATCTTATGAATGGTACCACACAACTGAAATAAAATAAGGAAAGTGAACATACAGCAATGTACAAAAATGGGGGGGGGGGGGACACAGAATACATATGTTTTTTTCATATTTATCAAAAGTATCACCTCTAGAAAATTCAAATTTTACCATAAAACAATATTTAAAAATCTGATCTACCTTACAGTTTCAATGTTAAAGGGGCACTCATGCAATTTAGTATGCATTTCCATAAAGTTGAGGGACTCGCATAGGAGAGATTCACAGACTCACAAAGAATGCCCAAAATCAAAACAGCAGAGGGCAACATTTCATTGTCTTGTATGTTTTAAGAAAGTCTACTTTCAAGTGAATCTAGTTGGGTTGAGTATCACTACACTAAAGGTATCACCCATATCTGCTGAAAACTTATAGACTATTCAAGCAGAACAGGTTTTCTGGGGGGAACAAAAACAGTTAGTGCAAAAAGATGCAGTAGTACACATATGCATGTTCCATGACAGTGTCAGTCACACCGTATACATGTACAAAAATGTCACATTCAGTCTCTTTCAGTGTTTTTTTTTATTAAATAGTGAAACCTAATTTTAAAAACAGTGGCAAAAATAGGCAGCAGTAACAGAGCTGAGTTGCAGCATAAAATACATACAGATTACATAATGAGATTTTTTCAGTCACAGAAATACCACAGATGCAAATAAGAACATAAACTGGAAGCTGTTAAAACAAACTGCATTATGTTTTTTAGAACCTGAAGTAAAGAAAAACTCTAAATTTGAAATGTTCTAAACTTCTACCAGTCAGTGTTAAAACCTCCAGAAATCTCCTGAGACAGCCTAATGCTAACGAGCAAAATGATCTCAGCCTTTTGCATGTTGTTGTCATATTTTGGATTTCTTTACCACGGGTATCATGATTTATATTTTACTCTAAATTGGACAATGGAGACAAATATTTTTGAAACAGACAAGAGTTGTTTCCTGTACTAAAATGTCTAAACTGTCACAGATATGTAATAAAAAATTCTGACTGAAAATCAACAACTACAATATAAATTAAGCCATTATGTCACAATAGAGTTACATCAATCTTTGCTTACAAATGAATTTAAATTCAGTATTTGAACACATAAACTAATACTAACATAGACTGTCAAATGTAAAGATTATTTTATAAAAACAAAATCTTTTTTATTTTTTTACTTTTTTTTATTTCAGTCCTCTCAACATCAACAACAAAATCCAAACACAAAACAAAGGAGAGAGGCACAAGGCTACCTTCACACACATAGAAAAAAATACATTTATTCTTAAAGATCTGAATGACTTACCTCCAGAGGTAAATGGTCATGAAGATATTTACCACCTTTGACAAAAGTCCCTACATGTGCTTCTTAAGAAACCTCTCCCTTATATGTGGGCGGAGTCAGAGGGTGCACTAACCACAAGATCCTGTTTTCTCTAAAGGACCATCAGACTCTTCTTTAAAAAACAAATGATTCTCAAAAAACTCAAAATCTTCAATAAAATCAGTTGACCTCATCAAACTGGGTTCATACATTCTGCTTTTCACCTGGGTCTAGAAACAGGAAAATCTTTTCTCGCAGTAGATGTCTTATTTACAGAAAATTCGATCTAGGTTTATGTCATTTTTCTATATACGTCATTGAAATATCAATTACACCAGCACTGTATATGAGTTTATGTCAAAGCATTTGAGTGTAAATTCTATATACTATAAACAACAACAATAAAAAATACGGTAATATTTATTTATTGCCAAAAGTGAGATGAAAGAATTTATACCACTTTCATGTCTGAACTAGCAGATGTTTGGCTTAGCTCAACATAAAGACTTGAAACCGAGGGGAAACAGCTAGCCTGGCTCAGCTCATAGGTAACAAACCTGCTGAAAACTCTTAAATTTGCCAATTTACATGTTATCATTTGTTGTTAATTAGTGAGGTGCTGGTTACCGTTGAACAGAGCAAGGCTTGCTGTTTCCCTGTTTCAAGCGTTTATACCAAGCTGCTGGCTGTAACCTTATATTTAATGGGGAGAGTGGTGTTGCTCTTCTCATCTCCGCTCTCAGCTAAAGAGTGAATACGCACATTTCCCATAATGTCATACTATTCCATTCAGTTCTTATCCCTCCTTGTTTTCTTTGTTTATTACCTTTGGGATCAAGTTGTTTTATTTAATTCAATCTCATAAAGGCATTTACATTTATGTTTCAGGCCAAACGATGTTGACACCATGCCCAAACACACACATACACTGGCTGAACAGACTTGCATACTTACTGGTACTTACTAAATAATATAATAATATAATCATCAATGGTATTAATTAATAGAAATGAATATGATCATGATAAGAGTTGTCTTCTTTGATCACAAATTCTCTCTTTGGAAGGAAATATTTCTTTTCAGATGTTTCCGTAGACGTTGAGGTCCTCAGTGTTAACATAATCGTCACCATCATCAAGGTCCTGTGAGAGATTTAGGCCATTATTGTCACAGATGTTGATAGTGCCAGTGTATGGTATGTAAGTCTCGGCAATAAATTATCAGCAATTTAATAATACCTCTTTGTAATTACAGGATTTTGGCTGGCTGAGGCCCATTAACATAAAACAGCAATAACAAGAAGACAGAGAAAAAGAATGACATAAGACATTGCAGTACTACATTATATGATATCTATATTTTTTAACTGGTGTAGTAGGAGTAACCAAGTACCTTTTCGGGGACGGGAAACGAGCCTTTGCGAATTTCTGATCGGCACAGGATTTTGAATTATCATTATTGGGCCTGTGGATTAAGATTCACGTCACTACACAGTTGCGAAAACTAGCTACTTAACTTTTTTTCACATTTAACAGACTTACATATGACTGGAACTCATGTCCCCTTTAGGCCTTCTGTTATAGAAAAAATATATATACTGTAATATAAATCATTAACATTTTAAAGCAGAAAATTAAACACTGTGGTGTGCTAGCTTCATTGTAACAAAAATGCACTCTCAAAGGTTATGTTTGCTAAACTGTGAAACCAGTGTGTTTGGACTGTGAAAATCAAGTGATAAAAAACTTGTGAAACTTATTAGTGAAGGATGCAACTATCAGTGGCTTACCTCGAAAATCTGCTCCAAACAGACCTTCTGGACAAAAAAGAAGAACAGAAACCATGCAAATGTTGGGAGGCATAAAAATAAAAGCGTATCTTATCTTATCAAAAACAACACAAAAAGTGCTATACTTCTGCATAAATATGCAAAGTAGGGAGAGTACAGAACTAGTCACTAAAATGACACTAAAAAAGCCTCTTGCCTTTGATCAGAACGAGATGGTCCTGGGCCATCAGAACGAATCCTGAAATTTTCACAGTATAAATTACACATCAATATAATTAAAGCGTCTAAGGTAACATTATTTTATTTTGCAATTACTCCACGATGAGAAAGGAAAATGAATCAAAACACATTTCTTTTTTCTCACCTGCGAGACATCCTGGACAGCCGGTTCCACATGCTAAATGTTAAGAAAATGACATGACCATATGAAACATTTTTGAAATCCTGTGAGATCAGTGTAGCACTATATGAACTTAATCAGCTTTACAACAGTTTTACCTTCCATCCTGACTTTGGAGCTCTGAAATGCGTGTCCTTGAGCAGAAAAAAAAAACAATGTAGTTTTATTAAAGAGCACATACTGTACAGAAATGTGTTGAAAATGGGGATGTGTGCAGGAAAATAAATATTTTTTTTCACAAATGTTATTGCTCATCTGATGTGCTGTGTCAACCAGTTAATGTCAGTGTATTACTTACTTGTATTTTTTTACCATGAAACTGCAGAAGACTCCAAAGATCACAGTGATACCAATCCCCACCACTGAGGGAATGATGATGTGGTTGTAATTTTCTTTACCTGCAAACAGGATTTATATAGGAGCCCTCTCCCTTAATATTGCACAGATGTAAAAGAGACAACATCTAGTATACAAATTTTAAAATAAAAGATTCCTTAAAGTTCAACAACAGAGTGAAAAGATCTCACGTTTTACATAGAGTGTCAGTGTTGAATAGGACCTCTTCTGGCCGTAAAATTGTGATGTGCAGGTAAGCTCACTGTGGTCATCCTTCTCCTCAGGAATGAACGTCAGGATGGACCCTGCCTCCCAGTGGCCAGCATGAGTTTGTTTGTGGACCTCAATGACATCAGTTTCTTTGACTGCCCTACTCCATGTGAGTTTAGGCACATGAGAGGGGCAGGTATGGGTGACTGAACAGGTGACAGTGTAAGGATGATCTTGAATGGCTGTCTTTGCGTGAATCAGTGTAGGTTTTGGAGGTTCATCTATAAATGAAAAAAGACAGAGTAGAATACGAGGCAAATCACTGTAACATAGAAAATCTGTATATAGATTTATGTAATCTTGAGAGGTTGGTGACATACTGAGCATTGTGAACTCAACACAATCTTCAACAAAGGAGAACTTGTCAATGGTGGATGTATCACCCGGTGTCCGTGCTAGTTCAATCCGGAAACAGAAAGGGCCATTGTCATGGTCTTTAATTTCAGTTATTTCTAAGGTGCAGTTATTAGCACTCCTTTCCTCCACCAACCGTGTGCGCCCCCTAAAGTTTTCCAGGATTAGTGTGGAATCTTCATGGTAGATGCGTTGATCTCGTTCTTTTGAACGATGCCAGATCTTTCTGAGTTTGGAGGCTGGCAGGTTCTCTTTAGGATGGGTGAATGAACAGGGTATCACAACACAGGATGAAACCAGGACGTCAAGGTGTTTTACAACAGTGGCCTTCCATTCTTCACTAAACACAGGGCTAATAGCTGAAAGAGAGAACAACAAGTGACAAAGAAAGACATTACTTCTAGGAGTTCTCTTTGATTCATTCATTGACAAGATGTAATGAAATTTGAGATAGGAAACAAAGAGGTGACTTTATTATGTTACCTGCTAAGAGCAGACAGCATATCATCATCTTTCCCTCTTTGTCCATGCTTCAGAGGTTTTGTTGGGATATTTCTGTGTTAAAACAAAATTAAATAAAATCTAAAATTATAAACACTACCAACTACTATTACATGCAAATTACAACACAGTTGTGAAAGGGGAACTTATACTTTTTAAATACTCATTTAAAAGCCATTTTACATAGCAAATACTGGCATTGTTATGTTATGTTGTCATATGGAATATACACAGCTGAAACACCACATAACACCATTAGCCATCATTTCAATTTTCTCAACAAAGGAAAAAATAATATCTGTCCAATATTAATTGTTATGTCTTATCTTCATTCTCATGATTATTTTTATTTTAAGTTACACACACTTTATGATGATGGTCAACCCAATAAATCTAGAATTGCTAAGCTACATTATTCCTGAACCTAGCAGTATATTTACTATAATGTTTCAAAATGAAATATTCAAAGAAAATGTGAACCGGCATTCATTAGATTTATACTATAATCAGTTATAATGTACAGTTACCAGAATCTTACCTGATGAAGCCGCTGGTTGATCTGAAGTGTCTGTTCCTACTAAATATATCTCTTGACAATGATATGCGGTGTGCCTTTTTGCAGTTGAGCTGACAAAGATATGAACTCTACAGGCAACAGAAAAAACTGCAGGCCAAATTCGAAAACAATGTTGAGGCTAAAGCTGCAGAGTTAATGATGTAGAAAAGAGGGAGTGGTCTCTTAACTATGTGCATGATATTATAGTTATAGACCTCTGTTTTTGAGGGAGTTTACATCCACATCACAGGAACAGGAAACAGAATAAGGAACAGAAAGTAGCATGTCAAAAACTAAACTCATCCCTTTCTGATATGTACACTTCTTCCCTGATCATGCTCTGCCAGGCCTGTCCTGCAGCCTTCTTCACTTCTTGCTCCTTTTTGGGGTTTCAGACAGCAAGGTGCTCCAGTTTAGGCAATCGTATGGAGTGTACCAAAAGAAAGCCAGGTGACTCTCATACTCACGTCAATGGTATCATTATAAGGAGATTAGATTAAAAAAACTAAACAAAAAAACTATCCATGACCAGGTGTGTAGCTTGAAATAAAGGGATATTGCCCTTCTTAAGTGATAAAGAGCAGCACTACAATTACTGAGGATGAGGCCTGAATACCTCCAGCATCTCTGCCTAGGCCTACTATATATATATATATATATGCTTTACCATATTGTTGTACCAATGAAAAATGTTAAATAACTGAAAATGCTGTGTCCATATGAGGACACAGGGTCTCAGGAGGCTCTGAAAGGTTTATTTGCACAATAAGAAAACATGCAATGCAATGTAAACATAGAAGAAACAAATGTGCCTTGTCCAAAATAAGTAACTTAAGCTAAATTAATAAGCTACTGATTACTGCATTATATTTTTACATTTTGAATTATCACCTGTTGGCGGAATTTTGTGTTTCCTTTTACATTTACACCATTCATGCAGAATATTTCTCTAGAAGTCAGGAAATTAAGTGTTTAATGCTCAAAAATGTCTGGAGAAGGACACCCAGACTCCCCACTTAAATATTTCAGCATTGAATATTACTTCTCTTGAACACAGAATTGTGCATCATGCATCATCACATCTCGTGAGTCAAGTGTATTGTCACACCCCTAATCTGAGCCCTTATGTCCCCACCCCTATTCAACAAAAAGTTACTTACTTTTCGCTGTTTTATTACTGTGCCCATGTTACTTTTATTTTCTTTATTTTATCTTCTTTACATTTTATGGTCTTTTATTTCACGTAAACCTCCTTGCTGTTGCTCCCTGTGGGAGTATGGTTAGTATGGTGTGTAAAGTATGGTGCACGCATCAGCTTCTATATCTGTCTATCTGTCTATCTATCTATCTATATATATGGCGGCACGGTGGTACAGTGGTTTGCACTGAAGGTCATGGGTGAAACCCTGGTTGCCTGGCCTTTCTGTGTGGAGTTTGCATGTTCTTCCCGTGTCTGAGTGGACTCTCTCTGTGTGCTCGGGCTTCCTCCCACCGTCCAAAGACATGCGGACTAGGTTAATTGGTGACCCTAAATTGACCTTCAGTGTGAGTGTGAGTGTGAGCGTGAGTGGTTGTTTGTCTATGTGTGTCCCTGCAATGGACTGGTGACCTGTCCAGGGTGTACCCCTTTCACCCGATGTCAGCTGGGATTGGTTCCAGCCCCCCGCGACCCTGTACACAGGATAAGTGGTTGACGATGGATATATATATATATATATATATATATATATAATGACCTCTATGATCATGATAAAGAACCATGAATGGTAACAGTATAATTATGTTACAGTTAATACAGTTTCCTTTAAGAGTAGTGATATTTTTAGCTACTTACTCCATTGCCATGCTTTTTCTCACTGTTTTAATACTGCAGCGGTGTTTCTGTCTTTCTTTTTTTATATTATGTGCATTTTTTATCATAAACCTTTTTATTTGCTGTTACTCACTGTGTGTATAGTATGCTGCATACGTCTTTTCCATTTCAGCATCAATAAATCTGTGATGGACTGTCACCTTGTGGTCTCGAAGAAAGCTGTGGACATGCATTTATCTGAATTACTTAAACCTGGCTTGACATAGTCGCTCCTACTGTGAAACAGCCCTCTGTTTTAGTTGGCCTCTGTGTTTTTGTAATCTGAGTCTTGAGGGCTGTTTCACAAAAGCAGAATTTAGATATCCAGGATAAGAGATAAAGCTAGGCTTGACCTAGTGTGATCAGTGCATCCTGGCTTTATCGGTTTCACGAAGGCCAAACCAGGCTCAGGAGGAGCGGCTATGTCAAGCCAGGTATAAGTAAGTCAGATAAATGCAACTCAACAACTTTCTTCAAGAGATCACACGGTCAATCACAGATTCATTGATGCTGAAATGGAAAAGACGTGTGCAGCATACTTTATGCGCTTTTACTCGCTGTGTGTAAAGAAGGTATATGATGAAAAAATTCACATAATATAAAAAAAAGAAAGAAAGAAACACGGCTGCAGTATTAAAACAGCGAGAAAAAGCATGGCAGACAATAGAGGACTGACATAATAAGTAAGTATATATATATATATAAGAGATAAAAATACTAAAATATTCACAATCCTCACTGAGACACAGAACTGTCTGATTTTAACCAAAAGAAAATCAAAAGTATTTTAGTGTAGTTTTAGTCATTAACCATCATTTTAGTGTTTTCTAACTCAGTAGTATAATATTGAATAGCATTTTGGTCAATCTGCTCTAACCAAATTTGAGATATGATTTGACTGTTAGCTTTGTTCTCATTTTTATTGCAAAGGAGACATTAAGATACCTCAATTCCCAGGTGGTTAACCTTGGCTTAGCCATATGCCGCTTCAAGTTCATAGTGTTTTTTCCAAAAATCTTATAACCACATCAGTGTGCGAACTATAGGCTGCATAGCTTTCGGGGGAGCTCAGTTTTTTTCCCCCGGGGACATGGAGGAGGGGGACCAACTGTGATTCTTACTGCTGAATCATTAATAGCTGCAAGCATGTAGGCCTGGGGCTGACTGTGAAAGTATCAGGCACGTTTGTCTTATGATAATAATAATAATAATAATTATTATTATTATTATCATCATATGTAGCCGTTTTGCTATAATTACGCTTCACACAACAGCTGCAGCTAACCGGAGCTAGCTGGCTAACTATTCCTGACAGCCCCCCGAAGTATATTCCTCTTACCCTAAGCATCACAGGGTGTGTGCCTAAATTTATTGATTGTATGCATGTCAACCGGTTAACGTTAACCCTACAGTGGCACACATCGGCCGCTAACAGATATGGCTAACCTCCATTGTGTTACTGTGCAGCCTCCGCTAACATTACTGCAGTTATATATTGACACCCACTGGCACCATGGTCGGCACTTGTCAACTCCGAAAACATTTGAACACATTTTCGATTCGCCGTCAATTTTCGTCATACTGCCGATATTCGACTTCTACGCAGTTTATTTCTCACCTCAAAACTTCTCAGAAGTGTATTTAAAGTTTTGTTGTTGGCCTCTAAAGAATAAAACGGTTAACATTAGGATCTATAATGTACGTGAGCCGAGATTAACGTCATCACGTTTTGTGTGCGGTGTCTTCTGGGACAAACCATATTTGGAAGTTCAACTTCCGTCAACTTCCATCAGGTCTGCGGGCTGCAGCTGTATATACTTGGGTTTGTCTGCCCATTTTTAAAAGAATTAAAAAATTAAATAATTTACGTTACATCTGCCTCAAAAGTGCTTCGGCCCACCAAGCTTTTACCCAGTATGCCAGATTAATCTATCCAGGGCTGGACTGGGACAAAAAAAGCGGACCTGGCATTTTTGGCCTAGGCAGCCCACCAAAATCGGTCAGTCCATTGATCCATTTAGGGGGTCAGATTAGGGGTATGATGAAACACTGAGACGTAACATTTGCACAACTTTGGTGTGCATGACTACTAGTCAAGAATATATTGTAATAGACTTAGTCTTTAGAAAAACAAATTTATAGATAAAATATCTGAAGATTTTTAGCAATAAACAAACAATAAACACTTAACTTCCTGCATTCTGGAGACATTTTCTGCACCACATTATGGTGGAAAATTCTTTATTTTTATAAATGGAAGCACAACATTTAGGTGGCAAGTGACAATTCACAATATAAAATATAATAAAAATTGAATGCAGTAATCAGTAGCTTATTATTATTTTTTGTTTATGTGGCAGTATGCCCGCATGCCCACTGGTAAGTATACGTCACGCACCGGAGCCTTTAAAAGGAGGTCTCCTCACCTGAATTGACACTTTCTGCCTGTCTCAGACGTCACACGTGTGTGGAAGCAGTGCTTGGGAGCGGTGCACGCGTCTGCCCGGCCTGAGCTGCTCCAAACTCAAACAGATCACGGTGTAGGCCCTAAGCCCGATGATCTGCACCCATCTTGCGTGTTCCATTGGTGGGTACAGAGAAAATAAACCGTACTTTCATTCATCATCTCGTGTGTAATCGTTGCGTCTTGGTTTGTAGACACCTGGCACATCGGTGCATACACAGTCAACAGGGGTATCTCCCAGCTCGTGCTGTGAACATTGTAAAACATTCAAACGGTGAGTAGCTTAACTGCCTGTCATTGCGTGGTATTTTATTTAGAAAATTGTTCCACACTAATCTATTTATTCTTTTGGACCTCCAGTGCGCAGCGTGCATGCACGGCGCGGGTGCACGGGGCTCAGCATTGTATTTCCCAGCCTGGTTCAATGTCCATTCTAAAATTGGTAAGCGTTCGTGTTATTGGTTTTTGCAGTTCATAAAGTGTAATTTTTATTACTTGTAGCGTGCGGCGGCTAGGCTGAGGCCTTAGTTGGTGCGCGCTCGTCTCCAGCGCGTGTGTGCGCATTCATTCTCAACTGCGGTGTGTATTTCTGTTTCTCCTTTCTCTTTCTTGCTACATATGACTGGGACATTCCTTACATTATATTGTTTTCCAATTTATAGGCATTGACGTTGAACTTTTTTCTCGCGGGTTCCCCCTTCTTTGATGGTCCTTACAAGTCTGACGGCCTTCTTTCTTCTCGTAATCCACCAAAGTGACTTCATCAGCTCATCATCCGGTTGGGATGCATAAACTGGGAATATACTAACGGGTAGGACTGATTGTACCCATATT